ATAGGTACGCCCTGGTGGGGGGGGATGGGGTCGGCGACTGAAGGCGGAGGCGCGTCGACCTTTCTGTCGCCGCCGTCTTTGTATGTTTTAGGCGGAACCGAGTCCTTCCTGCGTTCGTCGCTGCTCCAGCCGCCACTGCGACTCCTGCTGCTGCTGCTGGAGCTGCCGCTGTGGCTCCGCCTCCTGCGGCCGCCGCGGCTGCCGGATGAGCTGCCAGATGAGTATCTCCGGCGGCGCGTAGGCGTCTTCGGTGGTGGTTTGTTTCCATGGAGACGCTCTTTGGTCCTGGCCGCCATCTTGCTGATCTCGGCCACGCCCAGGTCCAGGCCGATGGTCTTCAACAGGTCCTGGATCTTCTCGTATTCCTCCAGCGCCTGCCGCTCGTTCTCCTCCAGCGGCTCCGTCCCCGGCGGGAAGGCGGGTTTCGACACCTGCACCGTGATGTTCGGGTCCGGGCTGATGGCAGGTCGGCTCGTGTACCTCATGTCCACCTCTCCCGCCGTGGGCGGGGCCTGAAGGTGCGTGGAGGCCCCAGGAGAGCGACCGTATGTCTGAGCACCAGCAGCTTTCTGCTGTGGGTAGTCTCCATACAGCGTCTCCTCCGTCACCTCTCCGTACAGGTCCAGGCTGTGGTGTCGGACCGGCTCCGGCGCCGGCACAGGTTTGGGCTCCTCTGAGTCGCCGTACAGAAATTTCTCCTCGTCATCAATGTCGTCCACGACCTTCTCCGGAGTCTTGGCACCTGGTGCCGTCACACCAAGAAGGCTGAGGATCTCTTTGATCTCTGCGTCGAGGCCGGCACGCCGAGACATCTCCGGGTCGGACCGCAGCTCCGACAGCATGGAGGCCATGACGCGAGGATCCGTGGTTTTAACGGCCTGCAGCAGCTGCTCGGCAACGTGCGACATGTTGGAATCGCAGCTCTGCAACACAGACATGCAGGGTTGTGATACTGTGACAGATCTGAGGCCAGAAGACAAAAGCCTTACCAGCAGCAGCAGGTTTGTGTCCACAGGCCCCGCCTCCTCCACCTGAGCATCTGTTTCCAGATTGAGCAGCGTATTTGTCACCTTGAACATGTCTAGGTTAACTGTTTAAGAAGCAGAAGTGTCTGCCGTGTTGTTCAGGTTTAGGTGCAGAAACGGACAGAACACGAGTGACGTGTTCTTCCAATCAGCTGCAGGCAGCTGTAGAAGGACCTGTCAATCATCTACCGCTACGCTGCCTGTACGTCCAACAGCAGTGGACCAGCGCTCCTGTGGACACCAACCACGGCTGCGTGTGAACAGTGAAGCCCACTGATTCCTCACACCAAACGTGTTTCAGCGAAGGATGATGGATGAATCGGTAACAACCTGCATGAACCTGTGAACTGTGTCCTACCCTGACGGACGGCGAGTCCTCGCTGCGTTTCTTCAGGATGGACTTGGTTGGCTGACTCAGCATCTCCTCCAGCTCTTTCCGGCGCCGAGCCATCTGCAGCTCCTTGAAGTCTTTGCTGCGTTTCTTGTCATAGTTGCTGCTTGAACTCGAGCTGCTGCTGCTGCTCGCGCTGCTGCTCCGACTGCGGCTGCGACTCCTCTGCCGGCTCTTACTGCGGCCGTGGCTCGCCGCCTTGCTGTAGCTCCGCCCCCGACTCCTTCCCCGGCTCCTCCCTCTGGACCCTGACCGGCTGCGGGGCCGACTTTTGCTCCGCCCCCGGCTCTTGGCGCGATTCCGGTCTGGACTGCGGCTCTGGCTGCGGGGCCGACTCTTGCTCCGCCCCCGACTCTTGCTCCGCCCCCGACTCTTGCTCCGCCCCCGACTTTTGCTCCGCCCCCGACTCTTGGCCCGGCTGCGACCCAAACTCCGGTCTCGACTGCGGCTGCGAGGTCGGCTCCGCCCCCTGCTCCGGCTCCGCTCGTAGTCGGGTCGAGGAGGATAATCCCTGCACAGAAACACGGCCGTTAGCAGGACCGACTGAGCATGTGTGGATTAAAGTACAGCTGAAGGTGGAGTTCAGTGCGATGTGGATGCAGATTAACGTGAGTTCATGACTTCACAGTTCTCTGCTGTGAGATTAATAAAAGATTGTTTTGTCTGAAGTCCAAGAAGTCCACGTGTCATCGTTTTATTCTGACAGCTGTGATCATTTAAAATCAAAAACAATCGGTAATACAGAAGTTCAGTCTCATCAGTTTCTGTCTCCATCATTTAAATACACATTTGAATACTGTCAGCTATCCATCATCATCTCTACACCTTAACCCTCACCTGGGGGCGGAGCCTATCCCAGCTGACTCAGGGTGAAGGCAGGTTCATTAATATTGAAAACAACACATCTGAATAAAGCCTGCAGCAGAAACCTGGAAATCAGACGTGGAGTCACACGCACCTGTCATGGTGGCGTGGGGGGGCGGGGCCTGGAGGCCCGGTCAGCTCGTTGCCCACCGTGATGACCAGGTTGTGGTCGAGGATCGGAGCCCGCGGAGACGGAGACCTCTGAAACAGGTGACACAAGCAGTTTAACTGTATTTATAATCTGATGGACAGTTGGACACAGTGAGGGCCCTCGGCTCCAGAACCACCTGTCTGAGGACACTGGGCCGCAGGTTCTGGATCTCCTGTAAATCACTTCTTAAAACCCACTCTACAGACTCGCTAACCCTAACCCTTCACATCGGACCTGCCTGCTGCTGTCCGGCTCTCTTTTCTCTTCCTTCATCTGCTTTTATCTTCATTCCCGTCACGTCGTCTTGTTCATCAGCTCTATTATAAGAAAGCTTGCAGCAGTGACCCAACCTGCTCGCTTCATTTCTGTGGTGTGTTTTTACATTCTGAGTGTTCGCCTGCACTGTTCACACACGTTGTGTTCTTCCTGTTGCCTCCTCTCTCTCTCTGTTTATTTATTATGTAAAAGCAGTCTGTGAATCCTGTCTGAAAGCTGCTATATAATAAAGTTTATTGTCATTGTTGTTATTTCAGATGGACAGAGCCTTCATAAAGGAACCAACGTACAAAACACCGGTGAGCACTGAGTCATGAAGGAAACAGCAGGAAGTGCTGGTATTTACCATCAGCTGCACATCAGCGGCGTTTCCAATGAAAAGGAGTTTAATCAGAGCTCAGAATATAATCCAGTGAAACCGAGTGGAGCTTTAGGAGGGAAGCTGCTGTTGTTTCCTCTGAGGTTCATTTAAAAGACAGACTTCAGCTGAAGGAGAACTTTTCAAAGCTTAAAAAACATCCAACAGATCAGATTCAGAACCTCTGCTTGTTTTAGAGCAGGGGTGGGCAGGATCAGGGCCGGTCCTGACCAGTTTGGTGCCCTAGGCAAGATTGTAGTCTGCGCCCCGAGCATCACAGTGAATTTCACTCCTAATGTTCATACAGTAACACAAACTGTATGCATGTATTCAAGCTTTTATTTAAGTATAAACAACACACTAAATGAAACTGAAGAAACAAGTCTTTGCACTCCCAGGCTACCTGACGTGTATTCAGGCAAATATTTAACCACAAGCGCCGATGCAGGTCCTCTACCCTCTTAAGACGGTTCGCTAACGTCTTAGCTGCTAACGTTAGCAGCTAACGTTAGCAGCTAAGACGCTAACGTAACATCTTTGCTGCTAAAGGTAGACAAACTGCATCGGCGCTTGTTGATAAATACTTGCCTGAATACATGTTAGTTAGCCTGGCTAGCTTGTGGCGCCCCCCGTGGATGTCGGCGCCCTTAGCATTTGCCTGTACTGCCTATGCCTAGGGCCGGCTCTGGGCAGGATGGTTATCATGATGAGCTGATCATTTGAATCAGGTGCGTTGGAAGAGGGTCACATCTAAAACATGCAGGACTGCGGCCCTCCAGGACCAGGACTGCCCACCCCTGTTTTAGAGGCTCCGGTACGCACCAATAAACCAGAACAAACAGAGAAACTGGTTCTTCTGGGAGAAAACTGGAGTTCTAGAAAAACTCCGCTTCAAGCTTCACTCAATTTTTAATTTTTAAAAGAAAAGTCTCATTTCTGATCGTTACTACAAACCTGACTGAACTCCATTCAGAAATCTGCCAATTTAAATGTGCTTTTGAAGTTCGTCTTAAAAACAAGAAAAACCTACATTTATTCACATTTTATTTATCATGAGCAGGTTGTTCTTTAAACCGGCGCGTCGGACAATAAAATAAACGGAATTTTAATAGAAAAACACCAGATTTTGCACCGTTCGCTGCGGCTAGCTGCGGCTAGCTGCTGTTAGCTGCTGTTAGCTGCTGTTAGCTGCTGTTAGCTGCTGTTAGCTGCTGTTAGCTGCTGTTAGCTGCAGTGTGCATCACGAAGGTTCTAATATTAGAAGTTATTAACTAGTTCTGCTGGAAACTGCTAGTTAAGTGGATATACAGCTTAGAAACATTCAGCTTTCCTGTTGACTGACCCGTGGTACTGGTACTGGTACTGGTTAGACATACTGTCGAATGAACGTTAAACATACGCAGCAGGCCTCGTTAAATCAGCAGCTTTCTGAACGGAGTCTGGTGCAGAGCGGCTGCAGCTCCACATGCCGGCCAGCTCAGACCTCTGACCGCAGCTGCAGGTGCTTCCCGGGAGGTAAAGAGGTGAACCGACCCGCCGTATTCACGGTTCTGCTGCCTCACGGTTCTCTCACCTCTCTGGGCGGTCCTGCTGCCCGGTACTCTCCGCCGTGGCCGGGGGAAGGGTACCTCCTCCGCGGCGGGGAGCGGCGGTAGGAGTCCGCGGGTCCGTGGTCGTTGTAGCCGGGATGGTAGGGGGGCCGAGGCCGGCTCCGGTCGTCCCGGTATCCCGGTGCCGGGTAAGGCCTCGGCGGCGGGCCCCGGCCTTCGATCGGCGGCGGGTAGCCTCCTCTCGGCGGAGGCCGACCGCGGTACATCTCCTCCCGCAGAGGCTCTCCGGTCGCGCTGCGGATCTCCGGCGGTGGATCTGAGCGGCTGCTCGCTCCGTGACTCAGGCTGATCAGGAGAAACCGATCAGATATCGATCCAAAATCTGATCAGAAAGTTTGATTCGTGCTGCAGCTCGCGGACCTGCTTCTTCTTCTGCTGCTGGAAACAAACAGCGCCGAGATGTGCTGCCCCCGAAGGACGGAACAGGAACTGCACCGTCCCGCATTCATCCATTCATGTTTAACACATTCATGTCTCATCTATTTATATGTTTGACACATTGACATGTTTCACACATTCATGGTCATCCATTCATGTCTGATTCACACTCAAAGGATGAAGAATGACAGAAGTCTTCGTATCTGAACAAATTTTATTGAACTGTCCAAGTTTGAAACAAACAAGACAAAATGGATGATTTTCATCAGAAGGAACAAACAGCTGATTGATGAGTTTTTTAGTTTGTTCAGATACAAAACTGTGAATCCATCAGCTGAGTCTGGATTCATTTTAAACATCACAACTTTGTGACGCTCAGATTCTGGAATGAAAAAAAATGTAAAAGGTGAAAAACAGCAAAGCAGAAAGTTTAAACTGATTCAAAGCAACGGAACCAAACGTCTTCGACTCCTGATCAGACCAAAGTTCATCAAGCTGAAGGACGGACTTCTGTCACATAACAAACATTCATTCTGAATATGGGGCTGTTTTTTATTGACTCGGTGCTTCTTTGACTTTGTTCAGTTTGATTGAACGTTGCTGACTCTCCTCCTGTTGGATTCAGGAAACTCATTTTAGAACGAGTCACATTCATGAATCCATCATTATTGTTGGAGAACAAATGGAGACGTTCCAGTCACCAGTAAAACGCTCTCACACAGAAGAGCAGAGCGTTGGTGGTGAACTGGTTTTATTGGTGATCAGAACATTAAAGGTGCAGTTCACAGCTTTTAAAGCCTGAAATCAGCTAAAGTCCCCAAATCCAGCTGAAGCAGCTCCTGGTGCTGATCCGGACAATAGAAGTCACACAAAATATACAAACCTGATATTTTTCATTTTCATTCTCAAGTCAAATAATTTAAACAAAACTTGAACAACAAAGTAGAAAAAACCCTGAAAATCTGCTCGACTGCAGGAAGCCTGATGCCGGCACACAGCTCGATGTGCTTCCTCACATCTGGACGTCTTTCTAAGGTTTCCTTCTCAGCTGAATCCTTCGAGGCTTTTGCTGCAGTTCAGTTCAGCTTCCATGGAAAGCTGCTGTTTGTTTGCAGAAATATGAAGTGATGTGATCATTGATGCAGGTTCTCTTCACGTCTGGAGGACCTGAGCCGAGGTTTGAGTCTCTGCAGTTTCTTTATGTGACTGAAACTCGCTGAACAGAAGACTGAAGTAATCTGACTACTTCTGTTTGTCAACCTACTGATGCTGAACTGAAAAGCAGGAAATGTGACGTTTTATTGTCTTAGACCTTCATCATTGCGCCTAGAAGTTGCAACGCACTAAAACGGCGGACATGCAGCAGGAAAAGAGGTATCGTTAAGTTTCCATCACACAAAGATGAACGATAGACGTAATATTATAACAAAACCTGTAACTTCACACGATGTTTAATTCGACTCATCCGTCAGAATCTGAGTCACGTTTATGTTCACGTCTGGAACATTTAGTTTGTCTTCGTTTCCTGGACCTGAACGCAGCCAGAGTTCTCCTCAGATCTTCAAAGTTTGTTCCTTCGTGTTTCAAACAGGCCGTTTTTTTTTTTTGTGATTAATTTTTATTTTCATTGTTTCATTTCAACAATACAGCGATAACAGTAACCCCCCCCCTCCA